ATTATTGGTAAAACAAAAGAGAAAAGTCAGATTCCACCAAATGAAGAAAAAATCATTTCACATTTAAAATGAAGAAAACTCCACATGCAAGCCTATCTGTTATGGGGTTTTAGAACACCATGTCTGACCTACAGGTATTTTATTTGTAGCATAATATTGCAATTCTCTCCATTTCGATGCACAGACCAGAACACTGTTGATGTTCACTTTGATTTCCATCCCTGAATTCACCTGCTACTTACTATCGGTGGCTCATTTTCAGTTTTCTTAGCCATGCTTAAAGAAGTAACTCTAAGCTGTTATGTTACATTGATGTCGTATTACCCAGAGAATAACTTTCCCAAGAAGGAGTCACCTTTATTTTTTAATTCTGTTACTTATTTTGGTGAGTTTTTTTAACACTGCTACTTGGATAAAGGGTTAATTCAGGACCAGCATTGGAGAATTCCATTGAACTGACAAGACAGCATGGGTTCTGGAGTGTGGGGTACCCCAATGCATGGTGTACTCTTCTTTCCTGTGAAAGGAGATGAATGGGCATTTTGTGCCTATGCCGAGTGCTGTCTGAGAAACATTTTCTGGACCATCACCTCCTGCCTCTTGTGTTAACTTGCCAGTCCTGCTTTCTCCTTCCCTGTTGAGTGGAAGACAAGCCTCTGCTCCTGAAACTGCCTCTGTCATGTGAGCAGGTGGTTACTGGGCCTGGGGCTATTAGAGACTGTTTCTCTGGTGCTTTGATGTACAGAGTTGCCTTTTTTTTGTTGTTCCATAAGATGATGATCTCTGAGACAGTGGAGTTAGGAGAAATTTCAGACACAATCCATTGCTCCCATAAATCATGAGAAAAAATTGACCTTTCTGTCACACACCCTGCTGTGTGTAGGCTGTGCCTAATCAAATATTTAGAGCTAGCTTTCTTGGTGTTCATTTCTCATTTAGAGGGAGGATGAGATGCTATACCCAACCCCCTCACAACTGAACAAGCACTTTTATAACAAGGCCTTTAAGTAGGCTTCTGCTTTTGTTGCTGAGTTAGCAGGAGGATCCCGTCGTCTTCACAAAACATCTCACCAACTCCTGGGATGGGTGGTGGTCTGGATGCTTAAGGCCACTGAAGCTGATAGAAGTGAAAAACCACCTTTATGGTGAGAATCAGGTGGCCAACTTTGCATATGTTCCTTCTAATCAAGGCTTTCTCTTTTAGTCAGCAAGCACTTCAGTAGCAAGTACTGAATTCCATGGTACAGTATGTGTATTTTTCTTTGAGGCCACCTTTCATTTGACCACCTCTTCTGTTTTGGACACATTTTTAAAAGATTTATTTGTTTATTTAGTATGTGCGTGCATGCGTGCGTGTACCACCCCACCCCCCGGCTAGAGTAGTGTCTAGTCATGTGAAAATGTGGGGCCAGAAAGCAGTGGAGCAGTCTTGGTGACATGTCCAGCAGTGTGACTCCTGTTTGCTCTCCCAGGATGTACAACCTCACTCAGGTGTGCAGTGGCCTGACCAGCCCGAGAGCCTCTCAGTCCCCTTTAATGCCCTCCCTCCATGCTTCAGAGACTCAATACTAGTTTGGTTAGGAGGAGAAAGAATCCTGAGCAGTGTGGTAGGCAGTACTTAGCAAATCCCAGTCTCTCCTCCCTAAAACATTCCTGTTTTAATTTGTCTTAAAAGAGAAAATCATTAAGTCTACTTTCTCTCCAATTCCTCCTTTACCTTTTGTACCATTTGGTTTCATATTTTAGATCTTAAAAATATCTTTAGTGTAATGCAAAGTGAAATTACCTCAGCAGAATGGTAGCACTTTTTTTTTTTTTTTTTTACTATTCAGTAATTTTGTTGTTTTGCTTTTTGTGTTTGTTTGTTTCTTGAGACAGAGTCTCCCTATACCCCCAGATAGCCTGTAACTCACTGTATAGACCATGCTGGCCTCAATCTCGCAGAGATCCGCTTGTCTCTGCCTCTACTGGGATTAAAGGCCTGCTCCACTGTGCTGGGCAGTAGTTTTTTTAAAATTATATGAAAGGTTCTCCCCTCAACTCTACAGTCTGTTTGACTCATCATCAAAAGTAGAAAACTTAAAAATTATATTTATCCACACCTGTTTAAACTGGGGTTGTTGTACACTACCTTATTTAGTTGGCTATGGAAGGATAGTAGTATCTTGTTTAGCTGGGTCGTCCTTTCATTCAGCATGTATTAAACACCTTCTGTGTACTCTGAGTAAGCTCACAGGTCCTAGGCCTTGTGGAGCTATATGATCTGGTATACAGATAATTGTAAGCTTCCAGTGTGCTGTGGAGGCAGGTGTAAGATGCCCCACAGAAATGGAACGAGATTCTCTCAGGAAGTCAAGTTCTGTGGGTAAGATGTGAATGATGAAGCAAATGAGCTCTGGAGGGTGGGGGATGGCTATCCAGGACAGCTCTGCCCATGCAGAGAGCCTTTGAGGGAGTTCACAGGAGTGGAGCAGGAATGTGGAGTCAGACAGATGGATTCAGAGGCTGTGGCAACCTGAAGGACATCAGCTATAACTGTTACTTTTCTGTTGCTGTGATAAAACACCAGGACCAAGGTGATTCACAGAAGGAAGAGTTTATTGGGCTTGCAGTTCCATAGGGATAAAAGTCTGTCACGGTTGGGAGGTATGGAAGGAGGCAGCCAGAGCAGAAAGCCAAGTGGTCACATCTTCAAGCAGGCACAGCCAGCAGAGAGCAAGCTGGAAATGGAGTAAGGCAGTGAACTCTCTAAGCCCAACCCCACTGTCTAAGCCCAACCCCACTGTCGTGCTTCCTCCGGCAAGGCCACAACTCCTAAACTTCTGCAAATAGTGCTGCCAACTAGAGTCAAGTATTCAAATCCTTGGAGCCTATGGGAGACACTTCTCATTCAAACCACATAGCAGCTTTGTCATAGGAGAGTAAAACAAAGCTATTTGCAGGGTTTTAAGCTAGCCAGATAGAGTGGGCTGATGTGCATTTTGAAAACTTGATGTAAAAAACATGAGGGATGCATTTGCCCTCCTAAGAAGCCTGGCTGTGTCTTAAAGATGGCGGGGTGGACTTAGGGCTAATGGAAAGGATGAAGGAGTGGGCAGAGTTGACAGCCTGGAGGAATGTTAAGGATTAGGTGAGAATTTTGGATCAAAACTGGGGGAGGATCATGACTCCTTGTCCAGAGTATCCCATTGTGTCCCTGTAGGACCTCCGACCAGACACGCCCCTGGGGGACCTGTGGCATCATGACTTCTGGGGCAGTAGATTGAGCAGCAACACCAGCCACAAATCCTACCGGCCACTTACTGTCCTGACTTTCAGGTAAGGTGTGACAGTGGGAATAGAGTTGCCTGAGGTGTGCACATGACCTTGTGCATGTCCCTGTATTCCCAGTGTCAGGGAATCTGTTCAGTAGTTCTTAGATAGGTTGAGCTTGGGTCCTGCTAATTTCAAGTCTTACAGGTGAGCCACGGGGGGATTGAGAGACTGCCTGAGGAAGCTCCAAAGCACTCGCTTCTGCACAGACTATAGCTGGGAGGATGCAGAGATGAGCCTGGCCCTTGTGCAAGGATGATGCTCAGATCAATGAAGGGGTCCGTATTTGTCTTAGTTCTCAGAGGTCCCACCCTGTACCATTCAGTTAGCAAGCACCAAGGGAACAATATGATGTGTATCAAAGCAGCATAGACATCTAATAACGTTGTGATTTTTTTCCCTCACATCAAAACTAAGTTCTAAATCTTGCTATTGCTACTAAGTCAATATGTAAAATGAAAATGAAGCTGAATATGAAGCCCCATTAATCAGAGAGCTATTATATTAAATGTATCTGAAGTTCTTATTCATACCTGTTTTGGGGATTCATTTTAAGTACTTGTGTATAGATCTTGCAGAGAAGCACTTTAAAATATTGGAACCACCAACAATTCAGAAACAGTGGAAAGTAAGACTCACTCAGAGCAGAAAAGTATCTTGTTGAGGAAGGCTGGGGGTATATATTGTTAGAAGCGCATTTTTGTGAATACATTAAGTTATGGGGCTATCTTAAATCCAGGTAATTATGAGGCATGTATGATGTATCTTCTAAAACAACCCTCCTTTTTTGGCACTGAAAAAGTGGTCTAGCTTTCTTTTGATGTTCCCCTCTCTGTATTTTCAGCCCCCTCCTTTGTGATGTGCCCCTTCCTCCCACTCTCCTCTGGTTAATTGTGTTTGCACTGTTTCTTCAGGCCTCCTTAGTTGGACAGACATTATTACCTTGGTGTCTTTTCACTTAGGAAGCACCAGGTCCTTTGGACTGCTACTATTCTATTGCCTCATGCATCCACTGGGAACATCCCATATTCATTGCAGGATCAACTACTATTTGTCAGGAGGCTTCCACCCCGTGGGTTTCCATGTGGTCAACATCCTCTTGCATGGTGGCATCTCTGTCCTCATGGTGGACGTCTTCTCGGTCCTGTTTGGTGGCCTGCAGTACACCAGTAAAGGCCGGAGGGTGCACCTGGCCCCTAGAGCTTCCCTGCTGGCGGCCCTACTGTTTGCTGTCCATCCAGTGCACACTGAATGTGTAAGTATCACCTGCCTGAGACATCTGCATGTATGTAAGAAGTAAGACATCTGTGTGCCATCTCATTTTCTGAAAGTCTTTGTGTATTCCTCTTGGTTCTAGAGTTACAGAGTGCACACCATGATATTTTCTAAAAGTAGAAATCACTCTCCCTGCCAGACACTTGAACCACTTTCTACATCAGGGACATCTTTCTGTGGACAAATAATCGCTACCACACTGGGAGAGACTTTATCCTAACAGTGTGCTGTGATCTCTGGTGGCACTGTCTGTTTAGCCTGTGTGACAGCAGCAGCCTCTAGGGTACAAATGTTGATGTTGTCTGACTTGGGGATCTGAAGGCCAGCAGCCAAGAAACCTCTTTCAGTGCAGGCACCAGGGAACGTTGCTATGGTAGCTGACAACTTTATGATTTACAAAAAACTTTCTGAATACAATTAGCGTAAGAATATCATGACATCAGACTGTCTGGTACAGCTTTATAGGCAAGGCAATGGCCCAAGAAGATAAATAAAAGTGAATGTAGGAGATACTTAAATTCTGGGCCTCCATGGCCTGTCCTGAGGAGACGCTGGCATAGGGAAATTGCTCCCTTCCTGTGTATCCTCTTCCCCTAACAGACTTGGGCCAGGTGATGGGCAGCAGTGACAGGAGCCTAGCCTGATGTCCTGTGGCCACATATCTATGCAGTTGAGCTGCTGAAGAAGACATTCTAGAGAGACTGTTAGATTTAACTGGCTGTTGGTGAGGTTGTCAGGAAACTGCTATGTATATACTTGAACCCTTGGAACAAGTAAGCATCATGTTTGCTGTGGTAAAAGATTGGTTTTAATCATTCTGTGAGCACAACATACCTAGAATAGAATGCTGCATATGCTTTATTTCTGTCACAATAGACTTCTATATTTAATAGAGATTTAAATGCCTACGTTTACCTCATAGTCGGTTGAGCATCTTGAAGTAAGTTTAAAACGGTAAACAGAATTCCTGTTTTGGGATTCTGATTTTGTGAAGGAGTCTGTTCTTTGGTATCAGTAATGGCCTGGAATTAAAAAAATACTTATTTTTTTAAAAAAATTTATGTGTTTGAGTGTTTTGCCTGCATGTATATTAGTGTACCACCTGTGTGCAATGCCTTAGGAGAGGGTGTCAGAATCCCCCTGGAACCCAAGTTTTGGACAGTTGTTAGCTGTCATGTGGGTACTGAGAACTGAACTTGAGTCCTCCACAAGAGGAGCCAGTGCTCTTAGCCACTGAGCCATTTCTCTGGCCCCCAAGGCATCAATAATATTGTGGAATTTTTATCACAGCCTTCTCCTCTATCTGTTAACTTCATTTTTTATTTCAGCAGTTCAGAGGGTTTCAGGTATTAAAAGGCTATGGGGTTGGTGGTATGGGTGTTCAGTTAAAGCTCATATTTGTGCATGACTGTGACCAAGTTAGAATTGGTTGCAGGCTCAATGCTCTGGTCTAAATATTGGGTGATCCTCAAATTGGGTATATGCATCTGTCACAAACAAGGGGTTCTTTGGAAAAGCCCAGATTTACTGTTGGCTTCTTGTCTAATTTGGCACGATCTTAAAAACAAAACAGAATATTTGAAGTATTAACAGAATTATTAGCCAAAAATTCTAATTTTCAGTATCTTAAAGTTGATTTACAAAAAGGCTTCAAGGACTGAATGTACTTACACATGTGTGTGCATGTCCACACACATACACACTACAGAAAAATGTTGTCCCGGAACATGTTGCTTTTAAAGGCCATGTTCCAAGTCTTTAAAAGGAATTGAGAAGGTGGGATGATAGCCAAGTCAGTAAAGGTGCTGTCTGTGCAAGCACCGACCTGAGCTTGACCCCAGCACCCACGTGAAAAGCTGGGCATAGTGGTGTGCACCTCTGATCCCAGGGCTGGGGAGGCAGAGACAGGTGGGGCAGGCTGGCCAGCGCCTAATTAGCAAGTTCCAGGCCCACGAGAGTCCTTGTGTTAAAACACAAGCTGTTCAGCTATTGAGGAACAATACCCAAGGCTAACCTCTTGACTTCCACATGCATGTATACACACACACAGAGTGATTGAGGAGTAATATCCAAGGCTAACCTCTTCATTTCCTCATGCATGTACACACACACACACACACACACACACACACACACACACACACAAATGCACACCCCTGCACAGGAATTGAGGTAAGACCACCTCAGGAAGGAATGCATGAAAAACCTCATTCCATGACAGCCATTTAAACTCAGATTTCAGGAAATAAGATAAATAAAAATTAGCATTTGGAGGCAAGTATTTTATGTTTACCCTTCATTATTTTTGGCAAACTTCAATTTCCTCTTATTAGTTTCCCCTCTTATCTCCCACTCTCCATTTTTAAATGGCAGGTTTAAATATGTGCAAGACCAGGACACCTGGAGCTTATCTTCATGTGGCAGGGAGCGCCTCACAGGGGGCAGCTGGATCTTTACTGCGATTTGGGTACAGCAGCCCCAGCTGCATGGAGGTTCCTATAGAATGAGGACAGTATAGATTTGGGTGGTAAATGTGCCTCTGCGTATATGTGTTAAGGGAATCTAGTAGCATCATGGTCCTGCCAAGCTTTATGACATTCATTTCTTCATGTTAATATTTATGTGTTTTGTGCTTTACCCCTCCTCAACATTAACACTGAAGATGTTTTTGCCCCCGTGTAAATAAGTTCTTATATTTTCTCTTTTTTGGTTTGTTTATTTTGTTTTTTTTCAGATAGGTTGTCCTATAGCCAAGTGTAGCCTTGACAAATTCCTAATCCTACTACCTCAGCCTCCCAAGTGCTGGAATTAGAGGGTTATTCTACTACATCCAGCTTAGCACCTTCATTTTATAGTCATCAGTGCGCCTGAGATGAGAAGGATCTGACCCAGGACTTAAAATCAAGATGCTCCAGGGAAGCAGGAATGAATTGGTCACCCTTCATTCTGATCTCCTTCTGGGCTTTGATTGGCATGAAAAGTATTGCAGTTAATGTCTTTTGTTCTCAACTGATTTGTGTGTGTGTGTGTGTGTGTGTGTGTGTGTGTGTCTGTGTGAGTGTGTGTGTGTCTGTGTCTCATTGTCTCTATCTCTCTGCCTCTGTCTGACTCTCATTCCCAACACACCCAAATATGCCATCCCAAATCACTCTAGGTAGTTGGTAGGCATGTGAAGCCTCTGTCAGGGGATTGATTGGTCCCCAGTAGAGAGAGGTAAGCCAAGGGCAGATGTTGCCTAGGCCCTGGTCATGAGTGGCTCAGTAGCCCCTAGGTCATCAGGATGGAGGTTCCCAGTGTCTCCTTGAGGACGTGAGTACCACTGTGTTTAAGGCATGGGTAAAAATTTCAAGTTGCCTCTAGATTCTGGTACCTAAGAGAAGCTTAGGTTTTTTTTAAGACTTACACTCATCCACTGAACCCAGACTTTTTGTGGAAAGTGATAGGGTGACACAAGGTCCTATGCATCCCAGGCTAGTCTCAAAGTTGTGCTGAGACTGGCCTTGAACTCTTGATCTTCCTGCCTCTGCCTCTCAAATGCTGAGATTATAGACATACATCACCACACCTAGCTTTGAATACCCAGACATTATTAGGAAAGGAATTCAGAGAGGAAAACTTCCCCTCACCTCCGCTTATTTATGATTCCTATGCAGATTATTCCTTGTGAGGAAACCTCCATGCCACCTGTTTTGTGGATGAGGGAGGGTGCAGTGATTTCTCCAGAAAGCCTTGGCAGGAGTGTTAGGGAGTAATCTGAAAGAAAAATAGAGCTTTTGAAGAGAATTTTACATGAAAATACATATTGTACAAATATCAAAAAAGAAAAACGGGCTGGAGAGATGGCTAAGCAGTTAAGAGCACTGACTGCTCTTGCAGAGGACCCACAGGCTTGTTCCTAGCACCCACATGTCAGCTAGCAACCATCCATAATTCTAGTTCCGGGGGCCCCAGTGATACCTTCTGGCTTCCAGGGGCACTGCACACATGTGGTACACTTGCATACATGCATGCAAAACTTATACACATAAAAAAATTTTATGCCCATTCTCTAGTGGTTGGATATAGTTCATTGTTGGATAGCCTTTCACACTTTTTTATGAGATCTTTCTCTTTAATTACTCTGACAGAAATTATCGGAAATGCTAAATGCTTTTTTTAATTTTAAAACATTTGCCATAGATTTAAGTTTTTTTCATGTCAGATAGTATAACATAGATTACTGAAAACTTGGTATTGTCTTTAATAATTTACCAAAATAAAGGCTTTCCTTTAAAAAAAATTTATTATGTTTAAAGTTCACTTCTCAGCAGTTCTTTGTGTGTACCTTAGCTGTCCTGATAGCAAGGAGCTTGGACAGCCTGGTCCTTTTAGCCACACCCGTGGTATGTCCAAGCCACTCCTCTTTGGTCATTCCAAGAGGCCTTAGCTCTCCTGTCCTGCCTCCCTTATTGCTCTGTGGTTCCTTAGACAGGTGTCTCTGTGTTGACTTCTCTTGCTTCTTTTCTCTCTGCCCTCGGCACTGTGGGTAGCTGCAGCTCTGAGAAGCTTCTCTGTCTCTGTCCTGGTGGGAGGCCCTCTGATTACTCATTGTGTCCTTCATTGAATGAACATACCCTGAGTATTCCAGAGCTCTCGTTATGTGTTCATTTTATCCATTGTATTATTTAACCCTCTAGTATACTGTTATACTTCTAGACCATTTAGGCCTGGTTTGTGCCTTGCTTCCTGTGTAATTAGTTGGTTGTCTTCTTTCTGTGACAGACTGCCTGACCAAAGAAGAAGGGTTTATTTTGGTTCACAGGGAAGGTATGGTGGCAGAGCATGAAACAGTGCTTCTGTCTGCAATCAGGAAGCAGAGAGAGATGAATGCTGGTGCTCAGCTCACTTTCTCCTTTATATTCAGTCCAGGACCCCATCCCATGGAATGGTGCTGCCCACATTCAGGCTGGGTCTTCTCACCTCAGTTTGCCCAGTCTAGAAAGTTCCTCACAGATATGTCTAGAGGTGTGTCTCCTAGCTGATTTTAGATCCTGTCACTTTAACAATCAATATTAATGTGTCCCTCTCAGTTAGTAGGTTTCTTCAGATGATATTCCAGGTTGAATTCATCAGTTGATTCTGTCACCTTGCCCCTTGTATGACACCATGGGTTTCCCAACATACCTCCGTTGGGAGGTTACAGTTACAATGGGCAGGAGACCTCAGCCTTTCATATGTCAGGGGGAAACTTCCCCTAAAGGGTATTCTTCAACTGTTGACCGTTCATGCACTTGGTAAATATGTGTAGTAGTTTTCACTGGCATCGTATTTTATCTGTCTTTTGAAAAGTAGTTAATCTACCCACCATTAAAGCACTTCCTAGAACCACAGGGAAAGCTTTAGTGTATGTTGCATTTGGGTGCCAGTAAAGGATGCCCCATAAACTAAACCAGTACTCATGAGTGGAATTCTGTGTGTTCTGAGTGGTCATGTGGAAAACAAGGAGAGAGGGACTGGAGAGATGACTCGGTGGTTAAGAGCACTGACTGGTCTTGCAGAGGACCCAGCTTTGATTCCCAGCACCTACATGACAGCTTACACTGTCTGTAACTCCAGTTCCAGGGGAATTCAATGCCCTCTTCTGATCTCTGCAGGCATTGCATGATAATACATGTAGACAATAAACTCATACACATAAAATAAAAATAATAAATAAAATATTAAAGTAAGGAGAGGGAAGCAATAGAAATTATTTCATTCTGTCTCATTGATCACTTTTGAAGCATCTCCTTTCCACGTTAACCCTCTTAACCAGTTTTGGTCGGAAGTGAGGAAAAAATGGCAGAAGTAGCTCAGAGTTCCTGCCTCTCTTTTTCTTTCTGCTCAGATGACTGGCTTTTAACGTAGGTTCCACCTTTATGTCTTTCATATTTCCCGCCAGATTTTAAAATTGTTATTATGTATGTGTATGGTGTGTGTATATAGGATGTGTGTAGGCCTCGTGTATGGGGGTATGCATGCCAAGGTACACTTGGAAGTTAGAGGACTTTGTGGAGTCAGTTCTCTGCATCAATCTTTATGGGGTTCTGGGGATCAAACTCAGGTCTTCAGGCTTGTGTGGCAAGCACCTTTACTTGCTGAGCCATCTTAGTCCCTGTTTTTAGTTTTTTGTTTTTTTATTAAATTGAGCTTCCTGAGCTGCTAACATTATCAATCGAAAGTCCACTGTGGGTGCTCTTGGGTATGCATGTTAAATAATACAGTTTTTGTTGGACACATGTACTGCTTGTGTGTAGATCCCTGGGCAGACATGAATCTGTTCAAACCAGCCCAGTTTCTCTTAAAGCAGTGAAATCAGGTCCTACTCCAAAAAGGGAGAAGAAAATGAACCCAACCTAAGATAACACCACTGGGTTTTTACACCACTCCATAGAGTTTTGTAATAGGTGGTGGCATCAAGTAAGTTGCTTGTTTTACGTCTAAGGGATGTTTTGCATATCCAGAATTTGGGAATGTTTAAATATGTAAATCTTTTCCCCCCCTTCTTTTCTTTTATTTAAGGTTGCTGGTGTTGTCGGCCGTGCAGACCTCCTGTGTGCCCTGTTCTTTTTGTTATCTTTCCTTGGCTACTGTAAAGCATTTCAAGAAAGTAAGCATTATGTTTACCTTTCTAATTGTCCACCTTCTTCATGTTTCTGCCCTGTGGAGCAATGGGAAATTAATCTGTTTATATGAGGTTGTTGTTTCAAGGTGCGATGGGTCAGAGATGTAGATTCTTTGTACACACATCTGCTTAGCCCATTGTCTTTTTCATAATGCCACTTTCTAGAATACAGAGTTCTGATGCCAGTGTTCCTGTGAGTATCCTGGTGGGTGGTGAAGCCTGAGCAGAAGTACTGAAGCATTTGTAAGGGATTTTGCTGTCTTCGCTCAAGCAAAATTACACAATTGCATACTGTCTGAGGCCAAACTGGACTCTTTAGATACCATATGTGCTTATGGCCCGGCTGCATCTTTATAATTTCCCAAGGTAGATTGAACCAGCAGTCCAGACTTTTCCCCTAAGAACATTAAAAATTCAGACTTACAGCTTTTTCAAACAAGACTCTAAAGTTCTGTGAATTTTATTAATTTTATTAATTTTAACATACCCTGCCTTAAAGCAACTACTTGCAATTATGAATGGATTTCATAGCCATCAAAAGGGCTTTTTGAAGAAAGTATTAATACTAATACATTTGACATGTAGTATGAGTCATGTAGAACCTCCCACTGCTTTTAAAGATTATGCTTGTGAAATAATAGGAAAGCTATCACAGAACTAGAACTCCTTCCATCAAGTGAACTGAATGGAGTGTTTTTTCAGAATGATGAAAAAAAGCTAAGATACTTTATATTCTTTTTCTGGATTCTTTACTTTTTCTGTGTTCCAGTTCACGGATTTGTGCATTAATGCTTATATAGTCTATGGGTATCTGTTTTAAAAAAAAACAAGATTATTTCCAAGAGCCATCCATACAAAATATAATTTTTAATAAAGCCTTTGGGGCTGGGAATTTAGTTCCATAGTAGAGCACTTGCCTAGCATAGATGAGACCCTGGTTCCATCCCAAGCACTGTCAAAAGCAAAGTAAGTGTTGTGAAATTTTTAGAAACTGATACTAAAATTTTCTAATTTTTAGAAACTGATGATAAAAACACTTAAATGTGTGATGATTTTTTTCAATTATTCACACTTTATTTCCTAGGAAATTTGTGAATACTGCCAGTAGCCAAATAGCCTTTCTTTATTGGTCCAGAAACATACTATTTTAGCATTTATACTGTGGTTACTTTAGCATGGGAAAGAGATGATTAGGCTTTAAATTTACAAATATTTTCAGTAAAGTAACCTTGGACATATGTTTGTGAATCAGTATCCGTGGTAGGTGTGGCTTAGAGAAGCCATTCTAGGATTAGGAATAGATGTTAATTTGCTGGAAGTTACCTGGACAATGAGAAGGCAAGTGGATGGGTGAAGGAGCCTTCCCAGAAGCCCTTCTGTCCACTTCTTGTCTCCAGCTTCCCATGTCTCTGGAATCTATTTATCTTTTAACTTGAACAGGAAAGTGTGGCCCAAAATGGAGCCCATATATTCACCTCTAGCTTGGTCTCTGACCCTTCGCAGTCACTTGGCCTTTGGAAAATAGGAAGCTGTGGTAGTTAGAGCACTCATCTGGGGCTTCAGTGCCTTGACCCAGAAAGTTACTCTCATAAATGGACATCTGCATCCTTTCTGCCCCCAACTCTCCATTTGTTTTGGCTTTGAGTTGGAGATCATCACAGTTCCTATTGCAGAGGTCAAAATGGGTGATTGAAACTCCCATCTCTCCAGCTACATTATTCATTCATCATTGTACTACTATTTGTGTCCACTCCTATTTTCCCATCACACTCTTATCTACAGGATGGTCAAATCCTACCTCCATTTTCCTGGCAGGTCTAGAGGTTCTGAAAAGCTCTGGAAGGGTCCTAGATACACTGATTAGTTTCCTTTGGGGCTACCCTTTTGGCCCTCCAGCAAGGTGCTAGGCCTGAGCCCTACCCAAAGCCACTTCAGGACTTTGTGTCCTGATAAGCAGCATTCTTTGTTCCTCTGTGCCAGTGGTGTCAAGCACAACCCTTCGCTCAGCCAGCCACTCTCTCTCCTCCCCATCATAACTTCCAGCCTGTTCCTTATCTCTCAACAGTTACTTTTCTGTGTTTCTGATTTTCTTGGCTCCTTTTCAGACAGGTTAAGCGTAGGATGTGCTTCTTTGCCTTTACCAGCTCTTTGGAAACATCCTTAACACAATGCTGATGTTCAGCTCAGCATATGGCCTACCTAAAACCTGTTTCTTATAAGAGGCATGCAGTGTTCATAAACGCCTTTGCAGAGGAAGAACAGAAAAAGCCCTGTGCATAGAAGTCATTCTGGCTTAGATGTTGGTGAAAACTACACTTGATCTTGGATCCTGTTCTTCTCACAGAGGCTTATCAGTTTAGTCCATTTGTTCCCTTACCAATCAGAGGTCATATTTGTAAAGAGATTTCTTATACCAGGACCTGTGCCCAATGCTAAGAATGCAAAAACTAGAAAGATAAAGTCCATAGAGCCTCTTGTGGGGACTTAGAGTCTACAGTTGCACTCTTCGGAATGCTCAAGGGAGTCCCCTTAGAGTCCTTCTTCCTGAACCTAGAATCCTTCCTCCTGAATCATGCCCTTCCTGCCCCTGCCTCTCAGCAGATGCTCAGGATACCTTTCCATGGTGTTGGCAAAATGGATGTCTGTGGCCTTTGTACCACTGACCTTTCACATTTTGTTAGATTTCATCAGTCTAACAGAACACAACTTTTCATGTTGAGGAGCATACGAGTGCCTCTATTTCCATTTAGAGTTTGAAGTATCTTAAACAATCACATTTTCTTCCCCTGGGTTAGGTCAGTGCAGATAATCCCAGGCCTGTGTGTATAAGTGTTCAATGGAGACTCAAACTCTTCGTAATAGAAGTCAGTATTTACTGACATGCAAATAATCATGCTATTTAATATTTAGACTTAACGTTTAAAGTGACCCACTTTAAGATCTGGTCTTTGTACTTTCTGAATTTGAATATATAAAGTCAATAAAAAGGAGGTCTAATATTAGTTACACATAAACTTGAAGTTCAAGAAAGGTTTTTACATTAGAGCAGAGTTAATATTATTTTATGAGGGAACAAAAATTAAGTACTCAATTAATGATTTAAGTATTTTAAAAGCTCTTTGAGAGACTAAAGCTCCTTTTTGGCAACCTCATTAGCTTTCTTTATAGACACAGTCAGTATTATAAAGCTCTGAACAATCTTTAACTGCCAGAGTTTATAAGCAACCAACCTTACGCTAAGCTCTGGAGTTCTAGCATTTTCAGAAAATGAAAAAATCTACTCACAGCTATTTCCAGGGCTTTGCCTGTTTTCCTTTTTATTCCTTCTTTTCTTTTTCTTTCTGTTTCTTGTACTTAATATCACCAGATGACCTCTTTTGCACCAAAATCTTCTTTAAAACAGAAAATACCCTTATAAAGACAGCAAACATTTGCTTCACAAAAAAAAAAAAAAAAAAAAAAAATATTAAATTAAAAGAAGTTTGTAAATGCTTTTTTTT